TCCGCTGCTGTCCTGGCCAATATTTATCTCTCTGTCAACATCAATGAAAATAAAATGATTTGATCATTAGCGCATTGCTGTTTTTAGGCACTAGCTACATGTAGTTTGGTTGCTGCATGACTTACAGTACAACTTAACTCCATTTCAAAAAGTACTTCATTGGCTGTAAAGTGCTTTGGGTTATCCTAAGATCATAGAAGACACTCTACGAGAGTGAACGAAACAAAAGAAGAAATTGCTGGAAAAACAGAGCTGGCAGCATCTGTAGAGAGAGAAACAGTATTAATGTTTGAGTTCAGTGACCTTTGGTCAGAAGTTGGAGGTAGCAAGAACTACAGATGCTGGAGTCAGAATCAACACAGAGTGGAGCTGGTGGAACACAGCAGGTCAGGCAGCATCAGAGGAGTAGGAAAGGAGTAAGAAAGAATTCTGAAGAAGGGTCCTGACCCGAAATGTTGACTTTCCTACGCCTCTGATGCTACCTGACCTGCTGTGTTCCGCCAGTTCCACACTGTGTCGACTTTGGTCAGAACTGTCGTTTTTGTTTCAGATTTCCAGTATCTGCATTCTTCATTTTTATCTGCAAGGGCAAATGTTCCTTTCAATAGGATTTCATTGATTCATTTTGCAATAAACACTGGATAAATAATTACTTTTCATTATTGCAGTAGAGGCCTAATCCAGGATATATTTTTATTCATGTATTATTTTTAGCAAAAGTGGATACCGCTTGTTCTCAGTAAATGGTAGAAATTGTACATCTCCACTTGTAAAATAGCATTGTATGTGTTTTTCACTAAACTTAGGACACTAAGAGAAAACTAACTCCCTTCTCAGCCTACTAGTTCTGTTTAGCTGTTTAAGGTAAATTTGGTTTTTCTTGCTGTTTAAAAAAAACTGTAAGTAATTTATCGATGCAAACTGTTTGCATCAAACGGTTTAGGTGTTAATGAACCTATGTACTTTAAATGGGCAGTAGTTTAAATGCTAACCTGAAGTAACTATTCTTAACTTTGAAAGCATTAGTTTCATTACAGGACTGCATTTTGGCAACTGACACGTGCACAGATCCAATGTTTAGAATTGTTAAATTATAATTTAGCACAACATTATTCCCATTATTAACTGCAAGCCCTAGTCCAGGAGTTGAAATCCTTTTCTTGCTCTATCCAGTAAAAGCTATATTCTGGATCAGAATTATTTTTCAGTAAAAGGCAGGCTGTAAATCCGTTTTCAATGCAACAGTCAAATCCTAATTTGTAGAGCCTGCATCAGATTAAGATATTCAGCCGTTTCAGTGCAATGATACTATTATATTTTATTCTCCAATTATTTGTATGTTAGCAATTGTGTCAATGGTCTTGACTCCAGTTCTGTGATTGTAGGTCAATGGTTAAACTGTGTTTAGTGCTCAGATTCAAATACTTTAATGAAGTTTTGAAATTTCAAAGAAATAATTCCATAATTTGGAAATGAATGGGTATTGATTTTGGATGTTAACACTCTATGCTTGAATCAGGTCTTGGATTATGCAGTAAGCATTAAATAATCAAATACACCAGTTATAATCTGCCCATTGGTAAAATTGTAATAGTGGCACGTGAGTGCAGGAAAAGAAAATTGCCTGTTCAAGGCACATGCAACTGGAAAAACTTAGACAGACTGAAACATATGTAAACCATCCCATTTTATTATTGACATGATTACGCTCGAGAAAAATTTTTGCCTCCAAGTTGCTTTGGTGATGGTATTGAATGTCTCATGTATAGTAATCTATATGGTAAATGGCCACAGAAGGGCACATGAAAGATAGAGATACTCCTGACAGCTGTAACTTTGAAAACCATTCAAGAAAACTAAATACAACTCATTTTGTGGCAAACATTGGGTGGTATGGGGTGTGAGCGATGTGAGCTATGGTGAAATATGTGGCAGAATCAAGTGAGAAGTCTACATATAGTGAGAAGTGAGGATGTGGGTGGTTAATGACCACAACAGGTATGGTCACCTCATTTTCTAGGGGGTAGTTGGAAAATGTGTGCAGGTATATCTAGTCAAGTTGGTTGGAGAAGTTTGAACCCTGTAGGTTTTATAGGATGAGCTCTAGGAAGGGGATATGGATGTTTAGGGAAATTGCCAGTATATTCAGGCTTAGGTTGGAAGCCACTGGCTGAAGAGCTGTTATTATCACCTTCCATCATAATGAAAATCAAAAGTGTGCAATGGGGAAGAAAATGGCTGCGAATACATTTGAAGTTGGTGGGGTAACTCGACTGCAAGGGAGGAGACTACTTAAACACTGGCCACAAGACTTTCAAGGGGAAAGAGCATTAGTCGCAGGCCCATACAATGGGCCCCACACAGGTACCCAGTCTGCCTATTTGCTGACAATGTTACAGCAGTTGCCATTGCTGGGCAACTCTTTAGCAGCTATGCCTTGGCTCATAGAGGGAGCTAAACATTAGAGGTAGTGGATGAGGAAGGACAGAAGTGTCACCATGACCCAATGCCACGTGTACCCATTGTTCCTCCTGCTTCTACATGGTGCAGTAAGCTCTCAGCACTGATCTCCATCCATGGAGCTGCTGGATGGTGAGAAGATGCATTTAGCACCTAAACAGATTCTCAAACACATGTAAGTTAATATTAGGAGCATTTATGCGTAGACTCAGTCACCCTTTTTCACCCATCGCATCAAAGTACCCTTGATAAATTTTCTTCCCTCCTTCCCACCACATCTTAGCATTCTCCCTGGTTCTGCACCTGGGATGGAGGGAATTTGCCCAGCTGTTAAGCCTATTGACCCTGGAGATTTGGGGGTCTTGCACTCAGAAAGCAGCTCACCATTACCTTCTCAAGGGAAACTAGGGGACAGGCAATAAATGCTGATCTGCCAGTGAAGCCCACTTGCGACAAACGAATCAGTCGTGTCAAGAGAGTCTTTCTTGGCTTGAATTTCCAAGGATCAGAAGGGGGAATGCAGGCTGGAGGTTGAGGATCTGGCCACCTCTGGAATGTCCTGAGAAGAGACTTATGAGAGGTCTATATATGCTTCAACCACTGGCTAGGTGTGTTCTGCACCACCCTGTCTCCTTGAGAGGAATGAGCACCTGGACTGTTGTCAAGGTTCCTTTGCCTTGTCACCAATCTTCAGACCTAGTGACCAATGGGTGATGGAATGAAAGTGTATGTACATCTCCAGCCTGTGGAGGTGCTGGACCTGACTCTCCTTGGCAGCCATCAACCTCTCCACATGGAGGCAAACAGGCGGCCACACGATTTGCTGCATTGCTGCAGCTTCTGGGCAGTGAGCGCCATTGCGTTCCATGTGCCTATTTGCTGGCACTGCTCAGCCCTGCACATTTGGATGAAGTTCTTGACTGCTTACATCACAAGGTCACCTCTAGCTGGAGATGAGGAGGTTCCTGGTCTTCAGCAGTCCTCTGAATGCAAGTGGCTTAAGGGTGTTTCTTCCTTGGCCAGTAGTGGAGCTGTTGTAGTGAAGTGCTCACCATATCTTTAACCCGCACACTGTATGTCTACAGTTCCCCCCAGAGGTGTCTGTATGTGGACTGTTAAGGGATGCAGGATGCATTCTTGCTGATGCTTCCTCTGGTGCCTCTGTACTTTTGTCCTCACAGCTGAGTATTTGTCTGCAGAGATTGTGGATAGCCTAACAGAACCTGTAAGACAAAGAGAGAGAAGGTGCCATAGCCAGTGGTTAGAAGTGGTGTGCAATGATTGAGTGTGACAGTGGGGCCATTGTGAGAGTTGCTGTGGAAGGAAGTGTGATAATTGCTTGTTTGGCAGGACATGAATGTTTTAGCATCTACACAGGAGTTGTCCCAGTCTTTTCCTGAGAAGGCTAGAATTCTCACCACACAGGGGATGAGGACGTGGATGTCTGCAATCCCTCCACCTCTACAGCTGTCTCTGTGCTGTTGTAGGCTGTTTTGTCAATGAGTGAGACTACAAGGGTAGCATGGCTGTTCATGCTGATTTGAATAGGGTAGGGTGATAAAATGTGTCAAGGGTTGGAGGATGCAGTACAGAGGACATGCAGAGTTTGTAGTGTGGAGGTTGGTGGGGTGTGGGTGGATGGGAGAGAGTGAGGGAAGGAAGGTGTTGTATGCAACAGCGAGAATGGCAAAGCATGAGCTTAGTGGGAGCTGGGTGCAGTGTCAGAAATAATATGCGTATGACATGGCAGAGAGGAGTGTGGCACTTACCCTGATTGCATGGAGATGATGATTTACCTTCTTGCACGGCTGGCTGTTTCTCCCCACCATGGAGGTGGCACTGACCCAGGTGGCGATCTTGGTCCAGACTGGCAGAGTCTAGTAGCATAGCTTACTCTCTCGGTCCTCCAGGAAGAGGACACCACTCCTCTTGACTGCAGCATCTGCCAAGGCTTCCAGGTCCCTTTGGTGAACTATGGTGCTATCTTCCCTTTCTCCAACATGTTCAGTGTCATTAGCTTTGTATTAAATCTATAGCCTTATTCTTGTTGAGAATTATGTTTGAACTCATAATTACCAATCACAGTAGCATAGTCATAAGTCCATAATCTTCTCATTTTTGCTAAAAGGAGTACAAGTAATTAACATTCCTGCTAAATGCTATAAAATCATTGCGTAAATATATGAAAGCAATTTATTATAAAAATACAGGAAGAATGATAACATATTTCCATTAAGTTTCCTGAATAGTCAGATGATGTAAGTTGTGATATTTAGTTTTGATGCAGACATTAGATGTATAATAATAGTTTTTCAATGTACAATACTCAGCACCTTTTGTTGGGCATAATGTATTTTTTAAAGTAACTTTACATTCATTATAACTGATCTTTATTGTAAAGTTTTACTGATTTAAGCATTAAATGTGGAACTATCCATTTATTTATTGCATAACAATGTGACAGTTCATGAAATCGTCTTTATACTTTGGTGGTATTAATTTTTGCAAATGGACCTGACCACATTTGTATTTACACACAGGCGAGCCCTGCCCCCATGATTGTAAACACAGAAACACTGGAGACAGTCCCATATGTAAGTATATCTCTTCAGGTATTGCACGATGGCTACAACAATTGCTTTTAATAAAACAAACAATATTTTTTCCACTGTTATGTCTTAGAATGCTCATGGCTTTGGAATTTGTTGCTAAAGAAATAGATTATAAAAGTAGAGAATGTTATTGCAACTCTACAAGGCATTGGTGAGACTGTATCTGGAGCTCTGTGTATAATTTTGTTCTAGTTATTTGAGGAAGGATGTAATTGCTTTGGAGGCTGTTCAGAGAAGGTTCACTAGATTAATTAAGAATTTTTTTTTGTGAGGAGAGATTGAGCAGTTTAGGCCTATATTCGCTAGAGTTTAGAAGAATGAATCTTATTGAGGTATATAGTGCCCTAAAGGGAATTAACAAAAGTAGATGTAGAGTAGATTCTTCCTCTTGTGTGGCAATCTCAAATGAGTGGTCATAGTTTTAGACTGAGGGGTAGCAGATTTAAAAGAAATGAGGATTAGTTTTCACAAAGGATTGTGAATCTGTAGAATTCACTAACCCAGAGCATTAAATAGCGAAGCAGGCTTGAGGGGCTGAATTGCTTACTCCTGCTCCTAGTTTTTACATTCTTATGCTTTTTTTAAATTTTCAAAATAAGCATTGCTGGGGATGACAGAGATAAATTATATCCTTTATTGTATCCTAGTTTTGTTTAAAAGCTGCAATTTTTCAGTATAGTGCAATGTGGAAAATAGAGCATATGCAAAATTGTATGCAAGTGTCAAATAGGATTAGAATATTTTCGTAGTCATAGAGTCATACAGCACGGAAACAGACCCTTCAGCCCAACCATTCCATGCCAACCATAATCCCAAACTAAACTAGTCCCACTTGCTTGTGCTCCAAACATTTCTTATTCATAAACTGATCTAAGTGTCTTTTAAACGTTGTAACTTCATCCACATCCACTACTTCCTCTGGCAGTTTATTCCACACATGAACCACTCTCTGTTAAAAAAATTGCCCCTCATGTCTTTTTTAAATTTTTTTTCCTTTTACGTCAGAAATATGCCCCCTAGTCTTAAACTCTGAATCACTCAATTTCTCTCTTGACCATCTGCACAAACTTCAGGTTAACTCAAAGTTCTAATATCTTTAGCAATGATGAAAATGACTATACCAGGTGTTCTTACCTGGAACGATAACATTTTATGAGAATGCTAAAAATTGCTGGATATAACAGTTAAAAGTAACAGATTCAACATTGTGCAGTCTCTATGTTCTTCCCTGAAAAGTTAAAAATTCAGGATCAGTTCTGTTCCCCTGTGATGGAAGAGGTTAAATTAAGTGCAGTTGAAGAGTTTCTTTAAAAAAATAGACTTACATCAATGGAGAGGGATGGACCAATGTTGGGGCGGGGAGGAGGTGGTGGGTGTGTGGGGTGGTGGGGTTTGGGAACCAATTTTCAATTTGTGGCATTTGGTAGCGCAATTAATGGATAGGGTATTTGGAATGAAAAGGTTAGGAGATCAGAGTGAAAAGTGCAGTGGATACTGATAGAGATGTAGGCTGGAATTTTCTAAAACAGTGGGGAGCTCGTTAGTATGTACACAGGGAGTTATATCTCTTAAGGTGGTTCTGGTCTGGGATCCATTAATGGGTTAAGTAATACATTTTTTAAATTCTTTCTGTCAAAGTGAACAACTTTGTATGTTCCCACATTATACTCCTTCTGCCAGATTTTTGTACGCTCACTTGACCTATCTATACCTGCTTGCATCTTCCTTATTCTTCTTCACAACCTAATTTCTTACCCAACTAAGTGTCATTTACAAATTTAGCTACAATGTCTTCACTCCCCTCACCTAAGTCATTGATATAAACTGTCAAAAGCTGATGCTCCAGCACAGATGCTTGTGGGACTTCACTCATCATATCCTGCCAATTAGAAAATAACCCATTAATGCATACACTGTTTTCTGACAGCTAGCCAATCTTTTATGCAGATTGCATTCAATCTTCTAGCCCGAGCCTCCTGAGACACTGGTGTTGAGATTTGTCAAGAGAACTTTTTGTTAATGGTATGTCAATTGTATTGTCAAGATTAAAAAATATGCTGGTGAAAGGATTACAAAATAAAAGAACTTAGATAAAGAAAGACTTCTGAGATACTGGATATTGGTGAGGGAGGAGGCAGATTCATGTATTGTTGCGTTATGTAGTAAATATATCTAGTATCAAATATGCAGATCAGTGTCTGGTTTCCTATTTCATTATCTAGCTTCAGAATGAATTAGCACTGATCTACTGCCTACAGCCATGGTTTTGGGAGATTTTTCTTTCATGTCTGTTCCACTTCCTCTGCCTTTGGAACAGCAGGAGGCTGAGATGTTGATCCCCTTGCTTCTGCTGGTGCAGTTGGCTTCGGTTTTCTCTTATACCTGGAGCAGCAGAGGTTGAGAGGGTACCTGATAGTGTTATAAATGGTAGATCGTGTCCTAAAAGGTAGATGTCCCTCTGAGGAAAAAACCCGAAACGCCCAAAGAGGATCACCTCACCCTATAATCTTTTCTTTTATTCGTTAACGGGATGAGGGCATCACTGGCTAGGCAGCACTTATTGCCCATCCCTAATTGCCCAGAGGGCAGTACAAAGCCAACCACATTGCTGTGGGTCTGGAGTCATATGTAGGCCAGACCAGGTAAGGATGGCAGTTTCCTTCCCTAAAGGACATTAGTGAACCAGGTAGGTTTTTCGCGACAATTGACAATTGATTCATGGTCATCATTAGATGCTTAATTCCAGATATTTTATTGAATTCAAACCCAGGTCCCCAGAATGTTTTCTAGCTCTCTGGATTAACAGTCCAGCGATAATACCACTAGGCCATTGCCTCCCCTATTGAAAGGAGTGTGAAAAGGGGTGTAACCTGTCTTTCAGCAACTTCTAGTGGTTAAGTCAAATAAATGCCTGACGCTCACTTTACAATCAACAAGTAACAATTTATTTATCTAACTCTAACAATGAACTAATTAACCAAACTATTAACAAATCAAACAAATCCCTTCTAACTACTAAATATTCCTGAATAACGCAAGATTCTAATGGTATGCTGTTCCAATAAATACAAGTCCCACTTATATAATAAAACAATAGAATTTAGTGTCTTGAAATTACAGCCAGGTTAACTCTTCCGGAATGTTCTGTGTCTTCCTCTGTCAATTGTTCCGTCAACTCTCAGGAATCTTAGCTAGGAGTGCCGTGGTACTGTTGTGAATAGATGGTGCTTTGTCTATTAGCTGAGAGCTGTTAACTCTAGCAGATGGCAGTTAGCTCTGCCGATTTTCCAACTGCCCCCTTCTTTTATGCCCCTAATGATATATCAATTTCTAACAATCAGATTGGTCCTAGGTTGTCAAAACCATCAGATTCAAATTTGATAGGTTTTTGGTATCTTAAGTGCTGCTTGGCCTACTAAAGGTACAGTCTTTCGATACAAATGTATCGGGTGCTCTCTCTGCTTGCAAACTTTCAAGCTGCTCAGAGACATCTCTAAGCATAGAAAAAGCACAGCCTTTTAAAGGGACCACACAATGCTTTCCCCTCTAGCATTTTACAAACACCAGCATTTTACAAGCACCAAATTCTAACGTCCTGCCTCCCAATCCACAAATACTCTACCCAACTTAGCAACAGTAGACTTATGATTATGAGAGACATAGCTAGGTTGGATAGGAAGGTACTTTTTCCAATAGTTAATAACTATGGGGCATAGCTTTAAGGTAAGAGGTAGAAGGCTAAGTGTTAAGAAAATACTTTGAAAATAACATGAAGGAATTGAGATAAATTGATTTCACTCTGTTTTCGGAAAAACAGTAAATGTAAAACACTGAATTAAAGTGCTTTTTGGTTCTGAGGCTTATGACTGCATCGTTCCTAACTAAATTTGCGATTACTAATTGCAACCACTTTTCAGGGGAATGCACAACAAAGGGCCATAATTTGCTATTAATTTGGACTCCATTGACTGTCTTGATAAAATCTCTATAACCAAGGTTAATGTGATACAATACAATATTAGAACTGAGAAACATTATTATAGCAGCATAGAACCTTTATTTAATGTGCAGTTGCAATTGACCTGAGAAAATTTTATGAAGGGTTGAAGAATGAAAAATTAAAACAAAAGCGATTTACAGCATTGGAACATGAATTACATGATAGATGCAAGCTTTTCAATTGTCGAAATACTATCAATAATGGGAAGAAATAAATACTGTACCAATGTAGAACTAATTTAGATATTGAATAAACAAGACTGAAGCATACAGTGAGAATACAAACCTGATAATTAGAGTGTCTTCAATCCTTATTAGTGGCATGCTTCAGTTAACAGCAAATTATTTTCCTCTTGGTTATGGAATTAAGGTCAAGGCCTTGTTCTCACATTCTCTGTAAGAATAGAACACTCTTGAGAGTAAGGCCAGTTTTTAGTTTTAAGAAAGAAATGGGACATGTATTCTTTTGACTATTCTTTTTCAACATTTTATTTCTATATAATAAATTGTAGCCTTACTGTTGGTGCGTATTTGTTAACCTTAATCATAAAGAAATACTTCCCTGTAGAGTACAATGAAGCTTTTGTTAGGAACTTGTCTTAAAAGGCATCTTTCTACTTATTGCTTTGGTTAATACCCACATCAGTCTCAGAGGAACTCTGATGTGGTAAACAAAGCATAAATTTCATGCACCAATTGGACAACATTCCTTCTCGGCCTTCTGTAAAATCGAATATGATGATGTTGGATCTGATTCTTGACATCGTGCAACAATTCTGAAGTTGAGCAGAGCATAACTTTAGAAATCACCTCATGTTCCTATAAATCCCAGTCAATTCAGTAATTAATTGGGCAACGCAATTCTCAATGTATGCCAATTCTTTGTTTCACCTGCAGTTTTACATTGGTTGCATGGGTTGCAAAAGAGGAGAGAATGAGAGCAGTGTTAATTCCACAGCACCCAGGCAGGATATAAAGTAATG